GCAAATTGATGGAACTAGAAAAATTATCCTGAGTGAGGTTACTCAGACCCAGAAAGGAACACATAGTATATACTCACTTATAAGCAGATCTTAGTCATATAGTACAGGATAGACATACTACAGTGCACAGACCCCAAGAAGAGAAGCCCGAGGGGCATCTTAGGCTTCATGTGGGCCCACTAGTTAGGGAGTGGGGTATCTCTGACACAGACTATGTTGCCTGCCTTTTGATCCTGCTACCCTGATGGGACTGCCCTACCAGGCCACAGGGGAGGAAACCTCAATCCTCATGTGAAAAGATGAGCTGGAATGTCTGTGTAGGGGAAGGCTCCCTTATTATGAGGAAAAGGAAAGAGGAGATATAGGAGGGGGGTGAGACTGGGAGGAGAAGAGGTAGGGGCCTATGACTGAGATGTCAATTGAATTAATTAATAAAAAAAGGTTCAAGGGTGAGGATGGGGGAAGGCTCAGTCACCAAAGTGCTTGCTATATTCAAATGCTGGTAGGTTACATAGAACTCAACAGTGGGGAGATATAGACGGCATCATTGACTCAGGTACAGTGAGAGACTCTGTCTCAAAAAAACCTGAGTAACAGACAAAGTAAACCAACAACAGACAAAGTAGATGCAGGAAAGCTAACAGGACCCTAACCCTGCACAAAGAACTGTGAACAACTACGGGTGCAGAAAGCAGGAGAACTATACTTCTCCAGAGAAAAGCAGACCAAGTGATTTCCAATACAGAAGGGTCGGCCCTAGAGACACATGAGCAACAGTGCCTAAACTGAGCATGTTACATTTACACATATATACACGGAACAAACATGTGCATGTGACAAGTTAGTGAAAAGAGCAGGGGGGGGGGTGAGAAGCTGCGGAAGAGAAAAGGAGAAATGACATAATTAGAATCTCAAAAAAATCCCAAGTTGGGAAAAGATTAAAGACTCCTAACACCAAGGTCGCTCCTCCACGTACACTACTGACACATTAGCACATATAAACACACACATGCACACCTCCACATGAAACAGAGCAAAACATGAAGAGGAAGAGAAGTATGACTAGAAGTGTAAAGTATAAACGTATAAATATATTTCAATGTATATATTATATATATACATATATAAATATATGTATAAAGTATAAAGAAAATAAAATAGAAACATAAAAGGAGAGGAAAGAAGGAAGATATTCTGCTCTTCAAATTGTTAGTGTTTCCTTAAAATCCTCATTCAAAGCATAGTTTTAGATGTTGTGAATAAAGCTTCATGATACTCACAGCACAAGCACAGGCCACTTTAAGGCTCATGATAGGCCTCCAACATCAAGATTAAAATATTAGATCATCCTGAGTGAGGTATCCCAGAAGCAGAAAGACACACATGGTATATACTCATTTATAAGTGGATATTAGACATATAATATAGGATAAACATACTAAAATCTGTACACGTAAGGAAGCTAATCAAGAAGGAGGACCCTATCAATCCTCACTCAGAAAGGCAAATGGAACAGACATCGGAAGAGGGAGAAAACAGAGAACAAGACAGGAGCCTACCACAGGGGGCCTCTGAAAGACTCTACCCAGCAGGGTATCAGAGCAGATGCTGAGCTCATAGTCAAACTTTGGGTGGAATTCAGGGAATCTTATGAAAGAAGGGGGAGATAGTAAGACCTGGAGAGGACAGGAGCTTCACAAGGAGAGCAACAGAACCAAAATATCTGGGCACAGGGGTCTTTTCTGAGACTGATACCCCATTCAAGGACTATGCATGGAGATAACCTAGAACCCCTGCACATATGTAGCCCATGGCAGCTCAGTGTCCAAGTGGGTTCCCTAGTAAGGGGAGCAGGGACTATCTCCGACATGAACTCAGTGGCTGGCTCTTTGATCATCTCCCCCTGAGGTGGGAGCAGCCTTACCAGGCCACAGAGGAAGATGATGCAGCCAATCCTGATGAGACCTGATAGGCTAGGGTCAGATGGAAGGGGAGGAGGTCCTCCCTTATCAGTGGACTTGGAGAGAGTCATGAGGGAGGGAGGTATTGGGAGGGAATGAGGGAAGGGGCTACAACTGGGATACAAAGTGAATAAACTATAATTAATATAAAAAATAAAAATAATAAAAAATAAATAAGTAAGATTAAAATATTATTATCAGTTCTGTACAGATAGAATATAGTCAAAATAACATACTGTCTTCACATTATCTTTCTAGGTCATGTGAGACCATCAATCAGGCCAAAAATAACCAGTACTTTCTCCTACTTTTTTATCTCTCTGTTGTGCAAAATTTAGTAGGAAATAAGCCAGCAAAGATTTAATACCCAACACCCAATCAAAAGACAGAGACCAATAAAAAGGTCATTCTGCTCTGATGACAGCGTTGGGACAGATGTGATAACAACTTTGATGTGGAAACATACTGGGCTGCACACACACTTGGAATTTACTCAATAGCAGCTTTTTCCTCAGACTTTGTCTTACTCATTCATCCAGGGGAAAGAAGAAGTTTGAGATTCTTGCATGAAAATTATGGTCACATTTCATTACAATCACCTCTTCTGGGAGTCACTTTATTTTGGAGAAAAACAAACCTTAAACAAGTTTAAGATCCACTATAAAAGGCTCAGGCAACATAAGTCATTTTCTATTATGTTTGTTTAGTTTATTTATTGTTTGTTTGTTTGTTCGTTCGTTTGTACTCTGGGCGCAGTAAGTGTGCTTCATGTCTAAGTACCTAGCGCCAAAGTCTTAATTCTGTGTAAGGTCAGGGAAAGCAACAAGCCTCTCCTTATGCATAAAGATTCATGACTGAATCTCTATTATTTTTCTTTTATTTGTTTGCTTGTGGGTTCATTTATTTGTACTATTTGCCCAATGGGTGGCTTCCTGCTGCTTAAAAGTTTTGATTCTGTGTTAGGACAGGAAAATAGATGATTCCCTCCTTGTTCATAAAGATTCATGACTGACATCTCTATACAAAAAAGACAGTAGTATAGTAAATTAACAAAAAAGCAACAAATGTATTAAATTGTAGCTTTCTATGACATAGTAACATCCAAATGGATCAAAGACTCAAGGTGGATTGCGCAGGTCTTTGCTCTCCATATCATACTCAGTTGAGAAACTAGTTCAACCTATGTATTCAGATTCTTCTTAGTCTCTCAGTAGACCATCTCTCCTCCCAGGGTTGGGACAGGACACCTGAAAAGGAGACAGAAGATAGCAGAGAACTTTATGGTGAGCTCCAGAACAGCAAACATGGGAAGGAGGCTAAATTTCTGAGGCTCATCATAGGACCAGAAAGTTCAGTTTTATACATTCAGGAGAAAAATCAGTTGGGGTGTTGCGATGGGATGAGGACATAGAAATATAAAAGAAGTTGAGAAACGGTCTCAACATGTGGTCCAGTCTGGCCTGGAACTCACTATGCAGTCTGACTGCTAACCTGGCCTAGCAATCATCATGCCTCCAGCTCCCCAGTAATGGGATTGCAGGCGTGTACCGCCATACCCTACAAAGAACATCCCTTTTAAGGCCTTTAGTCTCAGATAGGATTTTCTGATATCATTAGAGGAAAACCACAAAGGTAGGGTCAGAAATATCAACAGACTGTAAATAACAAACCACAGTGAAAGAAAGAAAGAAAGAAAGAAAGAAAGGAAGAAAGAAAGAAAGAAAGAAAGAAAGAAAGAAAGAAAGAAAGAAGGAAAGAAAGAAAGGAAGAAAGGAAGGAAGGAAGGAAGGAGGGAGGGAGGGAGGGAGGGAGGGAGGGAGGGAGGGAAGGAAGGAAGGAAGGAAGGAAGGAAGGAAGGAAGGAAGGAAGGAAGGGAGGAAGGAAGAGAGATATCTCTGATGGTTGCTGCATTGGAAGAATAAGGGGTAATGAGTAAACCAGAGGTGTTTGTAGACCTTATGGTCAGCATATGCCTCACAAGAGTCGGTGGCAAGCTTAAGTTCAAGAGTCATTTCTTACTGCCCTACAGATATTCCCTCATTTTATAGGCAGAAAACTGAAATGTTGAAAAGATAAATGGCTCCCTCAAGGTCATATGATAAAAGATGATGCATTCATTGTAAGAAATGGAGTGGTCTGATAAAGAACACTCTATCAGGTAATAGCTCCTCTCAGGTTATATGATAAACCATGATTCATTCCCACTAAGAAAGAGAATGTTCTGTTTCAGGTTTCTGTCTGTCCTAAATTTTTGATAGCCTGAGACCCTTCATCATGCCATTGCTTTGTATGTTGTATGGTGCATACATTTGTGGGTTATGACTATTGCTGTTGTGATTTTAACATTTGCTATGACAAATGATAGGATATGTTAATTGTGCAATTCAGTAACCTTACATATATACTCATCCGTGTTCAATGCCCCATGACCACAAATGTCTCTCCCATCCCAACTGAAACTCTATACCCATTAACACAATGCTCGCCAATCCCTTGACCCTTTAGCCCCTAGCAGTCACTGGTGAATGTTATTTTCTAACACAAAGGAATTTGATTTCTTTTAAGCTTAGCTTACAGTTGAAAAAAATGTCTAACTATATGCAAAGGGAGAGGAGACAAGAGGGAGAAAACTCTGTAGGTAGCCCTTCCGCACTTTGAACTCGGTCAGTGTTCTGTGTGTCTTTAAGAGTCTCTCCGCCTCTGAGCCTGCCTCCTCAGTATTGGTCCCTGGAAGTTTTTGTTGTCCAAGTTTCTTCAGCCTTAAAAAGCAGCTAGCCGAGCAAATTCCCTGTGTAGTTTCAGAAGCAGGCTTGTTGCCACAGAACCCACAAGGCCACGTGAGTAGACCTGTGAGAGGTAACCACTAAAGATCTGGTCAATAGATAGGCTGTGGTTCTTCCTCTGGAAAAGCCTGACTGGTAGGATTCCTTTAAAGACTCTGGCCCCAAGTGCCTTATAGCACTAGCTCAGTTACTTGAAAACTGAAGCTCCAGGAGGTCTCTGAGAGGGAACCAGCCTTGGCTCCAGCACTTCTCACCAATGGCCAGTCCTACAGGCCATGCTGTTACTAATGGAACTCTACACAGTCCCAAGACCCAGCGCAGCAAACGGCAAAGCACTGACTGTGTGAAAAACGGAATCCCAAAAGAAGCCCAGGTAAGAAGCTCTCACTGGTTTCCTCTCTTCGACCACTTCTGGTGTCTATCCTGTTTGCCATTCTGAATGAGATTTAAGCATCCTCCCTAGGATCCTCCTTAGCTTCTTTAGGTCTCTGTATTTTATTATGGCTATCCTATATTATACGGCTAATATCCACTTATAAGTGAGTATATACCATGTGTGTCTTTCTGCTTCTGGAATACCTCACTCAGGATGACCTTTTCTAGTTCCCACCAGTTGCCTACAAATTTCATGATTTCCTTGTTTTTTTAATAGCTGAGTATTATTCCATTGTGTAGATGTACCACAATTTCTGTATCCTTTCCTCCATTGAGGCACATGTAGGTTGTTTCCAGATTCTGGCTATTGTGAATAAAGCTGCTATGAACATAGTCGAACACATGTCCTTATTGAATGGTGGGGCACCATTTGAGTATATGCCAATGAGTGGTATAGCCGGATCTTGAGGTAGTGCTAGTCCCAATTTGGGGGAAGCGCCAGATTGATTTCCAAAGTGGTTGTACAAGTTTGCTCTCCCACCAGCAATGGAGGAAGGTTCCCCTTTCTCCACATCCTCACCAGCATGTATTGTCACATGAGTTTTTTATCTTATCCACTCTGATCGGTGCAAGATGGAATCTCACTGTAGAGGGTCTTCTGAAAGGCTCCACCCAACAGATAATTGGAGCAGATGCTGAGACTCACAGCTAAACTTTGGGCAGAGAGCCGGGAGTCTTATAGAAGAAGAAGAGATTGGGGATAGAAGACATGGAGGAGACAGGAGCCACACAAGGAGACCAACAAAGCTAAAAATATCTGAGCCCAGGGAGTCCTGCAGAGACTGATGCACCAACCAAGGACCATGCATAGAGGGGACCTAGATCCTCTGCTCATATGTAGCCCATGGGCAGCTCAGTCTCCATGTGGGAATCTAAGTAAGGGATGCAGGGCCTGCCTGTGTCATGAACTCAGTTGCCTGCCGTTTGGTCACTTGCCCCTGGCCATGCGGCCTTACTTGACCACAGAGGAAGAGGATCCAGGCAGTCCTGATGAGACCTGGCAAGCTATGGGCAGATGGCAAAGGAGAAAAACTCCCCCTTTAAGTGGACTAGAGGAAACAGATGGGGGAAGTAGGAGGGAGGGTGGGACTGGGAGGAGCTGAGGCAGGAGGCTTCAATCAGGATATATAATGAATAAATTATGAAAAAAAGATCTGTACACCTAAAGAAGGACACTAATCAAGAAGGAGGACTCTGGATAAGATGCTCAATCCCCATTCAGAAAGGCAAAGAGAATGGACATCAGAAGAGAGAGAAAACAGGGAACAAGACAGGAGCCTAACACAGAGGACCTCTGAAAGGCTCTACCCTGCAGGGTATAGAGAAAATGTTGAGACTCATAGCCAAACTTTGGGTGGAGATCAGGGAATCTTATGAAAGAAGGGAGAGATACTAAGACCTGGAGAGGACAGGAGCCCCACAAGGAGAGCAACAGAACCAAAAAATCTGGGCACAGGGGTCTTTGCTGAGACTGATACTCCAAGCAAGGACCATGCTTGGAGATAACCTAAGACCCCTGCACAGATGTAGCCCATGGCAGTTCAGTGTCCAAGTGGGTTCCATAGTAATGGGAACAGGGACTGTCTCTGACAGGAACTGATTGGCCTGCTCTTTGATCACCTCCCCCTGAGGGGGGAGCAGCCTTACCAGGCCACAGAGGAAGACAATGCAGCCAGTCCTGACAAGGCCTGATAGACTAGGATCAGAAGGAAGGGGAGGAGGGCCTCCCCCATCAGTGGAGTTTGGGAGGGACATGGGTGGAGAAGGGCAAGGGAGGGTAGGATTGGAAGGGGAGGAGAGAGGGAGCTACAGGGGGGATACAAAGTGAATAAACTGTAATTAATAAAAATAAAAAAACCTTAATATTAAAAAAAGAAAAAGCTATTGCTTGCATCCTTATTTTGCACAGCCAAATTATTGCCAAATTATTTCCATATTTCTTTGCAATGTAGTTTAAGGCAGTCGTTACTCAAGAAAACAAAAACAAAAAGACAAAACAAAAACTGTTTCTCTCATGAGCTGTTTCATTGTTTTGACTTGCGCTTCAGATAATGTGTCGCAATGTGTATGTGTTATGAAGCTTAGAGATGGATGTAAGAAAACTTCTTCTCTAGATGGGAGAAGATGCACACTGTTCCAAGGTCCTAGATTCTCTAAAGCATGGACTGCGCACACGTTTCATTCACTCTCTAGCAAATGGGGGGACAAGACTGAAAGGTCAAACTCTCCTGCTGAACATACGACCTGCCACTCGCAGGTGCTTCGGGAGAGACAGAGATGTGATGGCAAATCTTGCTGAGCTCCTGTGGCAGATAATACGTGTCCCTGGTGCACATGAAGTGCCTTTGCTTGGAAGGATCTTCGTCGTGCTTTACAGAGCACTGTCCCAGCCCACAGCCCGATTGCAGTCTGGAGTCTCTCTTTGAAATTTGACCCACCTACCCCCATATTCTTTTCTAAAAACCATTTCAGGAAATGTAGCTGTGGTGCTCTGCACACTGAAAGCAAGGTGGCATCTTTAGAACAGACTTTTCAGTTTTTTCCATTTCGTACTTTCCTCCCTCATTTTGGCCCCTTGGCTGTTGTGAAATATCTGAGGTGTTGTGCTAGGTAAGAGAAACTTAAGAAAGGACTCAAAATAATGTCGCAGATTTGTGAGGTTCTTAAATAAAAGCAATTGTGCATGTCATGTATCATGCCAGGACTCACTGGTCTGAGTCATAAGGTGAGCTTACCACCTTAAAGACAAGCTTGAATTGACAGGCAAGCTCATTGTGGTGAATTGGGAAAGCTGTGTGGAGCCCTATGCAATTTTTTCCTGTTTAGTCACCCCAGGGAGCCAGCCTCTGCCTGGGGGAAAGGTCAGGTTGTGCCAAGCACCCAGAACAGACAGGATTAGCTGAGGTCATGTCTCAGTGCACTGAATCAAGGTTTCAGGTCCAGTTGGAGGGGCAAGGTGCATCCACTGAAGAGTCACACCTGTGTAGTAAAATGTCTTGGTCCTCCAAATGTATCCCTCACTCACCCACACACTGGGAAGCCTCCACCAGAAGTCTCGGGCTGGAGCAGGACAAAGAGAAAGGACGTAAGAGAGTTCATGGCACTATCGCCACCCACTCAGATCACTGCTAAGATGCCCGTTGTCCCTGAAGTACCTGTTTCACTGGCCACTGTTTATCTTCCGGGCTATTTCTGAGTCTTGGGTGTCTTATTTGAGCGCAGACACCCTTTTCTTTACTTATTGTGGTTTCATAACTGCATTCTAGTGTTTGAAGTTGAAAGAGAAAGCAGACAGGACAGCCACTGCAATGTAAGGGAAGGACTCCAGAGGGACAGAAGGGTAACTGCACAGGACCATAACACCCTCAGTCATGGAGCAGCTGAGTGTGCCACTGCTGCTGCCTTTCTTCACAGCTCTTTCCGAGGAGCCATCCAGATCCTGTTAGCTAAGATATGTTTACATGTTTCTAAGCTGAAATTGGCTTCCACTGAGAGTTTCAGTTATATCTTAATAAATATTTCCCTGAAATAATAAATTCTGCTGTGACCATAACAGAAGGAAGCAAACAGGGCCATATTTTCTCCCTCCAAAGTATGAATAATGTTGTCTTCTTCATAATGATGCTTAAGCACAAGTTTGATCCCCTGGTCCTCATAACAAGCTATGTCTTGACCAATGACCTTGCCTATTGGCAAAAGCAATCCATGACAGCTTGTAGGTGTCTGAGGTCATTAACCTTTCAAATGCTTTTCTGGGACTAACGTCCAATGGGACAGTGCCTAAAACCCTACCAGCTTCAATGGAGCTCCCTGTAGTTTTCCGGCTTCTTTGCACTCACACAGAAATACAGTTACCTCTTTGACACACTGGCTCCTCTGTAAGATTCTGTTGGCAAAAGATTTCCCAGCATGGTGACCAAAAAGTAAACAGTTAGGCAGTGACTTGGAATGTCCTTCATTTTGCCCCAGCACACACTGGTGTGAACTCTGTGGTTCCAGCAGGTGGACTCAGCAGCCAAAGCTCACTACCAACCAGAGCCAGAACCTTTCCCTTTTGGAAATTATCTAGAGTTTCTTTCTGGAGCTTTTTTGCTCCTTAATCCTATTGCCTTTCTTTGCTCTGTGAGCCCTGGATGGCCCGGGATGAACTGAAACGGGCTTTCATCACTGGTTAAGTCCATTCTTCATTTAAAGTGTATTGGAGGGATCCGAGGGGGCTGCCACCACTGTGTGTCCACTAGGCTCCGTAGACCATGACCTAAGTAGACGGAAGCTGATCACCACAGGTGACTGAATTATGCTAGTAAGCAATGGGAAAAAACAACAAAACCTAACCCACTGAATTTAGTAAAGAAGAGAACATATCAAATTCAAAATCATTTCCATGGATTTTCACCTTTGCACTCAGGCAGAGGGAATGGATAAGAACAGAAAAAGATTGGCAATTTTTTCAGTATTTTTTCTTTTTATTAATATTATTGTTTACAATTTATTCACTTTGTATCCCAGTTGTAGCCCCCCCCAATTCCCTCCTAGCCTCACCCTCCCCTCCTCTTCCTCTCTTATCTCTCTTCCCTAGTCTACTGATAGGGGAAGTCCTCCTCCCCAATTGTCTGAAAGGACCCTGAGGGGACAGGAGCCACACAAGGCAACCAACAAAGCCAAACAATGCAGGACCCAGGGGGGACTGCAGAGACAGATGCACCAACCAAAGACCATGCATAGAGAGGACCTAGATCCCCTGCTCAGATGTAGCCCATAGACAGCTCAGTCTCCATGTGGGTTCCCTAGTAAGGGGACCTGATAGGCGGATAAGATGAGCAATTTTTAATACATTGAAAACTTTACTCAGCATCATAAAGGATACTGAATGATCCCAATGTAAGCTCTGAATGAAAGGAAGGCTAGAGTTGACTTAGTGTGTAACAGCACTTGCTG